CTGCAGCTCTTTGGTGGATCCTGAAAACACAAGGTCGAAGCAAATGCTGAAGGTCTAGCTGCAAGAGCCTTGGTCCAAGAGAAGGAGAAGGGAGGTCTCCTAGCCACAGAGCCCTTACTGGTTTTCTTTTTGTCCTTCACAGCACCGAAATCTTTCCCTAACTTTGAACTTAGAATTTTGGTCCCGGGTGTTGGCACAACAGGTTGGTCTAGGACCGGTTTTATAACCAAATCTGGGGTTTTTATCAGGACACTCAGATCAATATTTGAATCTATCCCAGAAGACCTCATTTCCGATAAATTACAGGAGTCTTTCTTAATCTGAGATTGGTCTACATCAATGGCTTTTGCAATCAAATCGGAAAGCGACAAGTTATGGTGTTTTGTTTTATGAGAAGCTTTACAAAATGCCAGAGATGATAAGGATCCTGTTAATTCTGATATTCCAGTTGAAGACTGGGGCCGGTTTGCAAGCTGTGACAGAGGACAAGATCTCAAACTGAGATCCGTGAAACTGGCCGAGGGCGGGCTGCGAAGGGCAGAGGGAGCACAGCTTGGGGTCAGGCGGTTTCCTTTGTGTTCCCGAAACAGTTCAGCCAGGGATGGGCTTTCCCCCTGGGAAAACGGCAAATGGTCACCTTTTAAAACAGAATTCTGAGTGCTTTGTTCAACGAAAGAAACACTTCCAACTTCAGTCTTTATACAATCATTTAAATTACCAAGCGTCTTCTCTTTCAATGCGCTGTTTTGTATTGGAATGTTTTGGAAATCAGGTAGTGACTGGTTTTGAGTAACCAAAGACTTGTTAGGTGTGCTCTTTAACATTAGGGACCTTAAATCTGGTATCCCTTTGAACTCAGTATCATCTTTGGAAAGACATTCAGATTTATCAAGTCTTAACACATCATCATCTGGACCCTTTGAAAGTGGACTTTCGAGACTATAGGCGGATGAAGATGATATGACTGAAGGCTCACTTCTACAGGATTCATAAAATGAATCTCTTGGCATGTCACTAATTAGGTCAGCTAGCGAAAGCTCTTCTGTTAACTTACATGATTCTAGTTTCTTTTCACTTTTAGGTCTGTCAAGTTTCTTTTGTTTATGAAGTAGATGGTGACTCGGTACAATTGGAGAGTTATGGTATAACCCATAGTTTGCTACTGGGTCAGGAGCATGAAAGGGCATACTAGGACAATCCAAATTATTAGTGGGTAAAGGACAACAACTTTGAGCATCAGCAGTTGAAACTTCAGAGGAAGAAAATAAGACTCCTTACCTTACAAGAGCCATTAATGTTCAGATGAATAGGTTGACATATTCAGAAGACAGTCACAGCAACCAGAAGGAAACATGAAATGAGGCAATTAATTACCAAGTGCTTTTTTAACATGAATCAAGTGACAGTTGAACATTAGTTGACATGATTCACATGCACTCTCAATGGTACAAAGTCAGAACTTTCCATTACCGATCTAAAGCCATCTTCCTGCTTTGTTCACTGACGTGTCAAAATGTTAAGTACTGAGGCCAATGTTCTAATTTTCATAAAACTCACAAAATGAGGTCTGAGTTTATTTACATTATAATCAGGATTGCTTCATATTCAAAACTTCTAAGAAATCTACAACGAGAACTAGGAATAGTCTTAAAAATAAACACACAAGCCAATAAAACATATCCTACCATGATCTGAGGCTCACTTTTAGTACAGACTCACTTCTATATGTGATCATTTAGAAATGCACAATAACTAAACAAAACAGAAACACCTTTTAATTCATGGTAACCGGCTGCATGTAACCTTGTGGCAAAAATCCAGATCCTAGATGACAAGAAATATCGACCCAATTTACAGTTAACAACAGAGGTCACACCAATTTATACAGAGGTAACTAATTCCCTCATATACCCTGACTGAATTCCAAATTTAAGGCCAAATTCTACAAATTTAAAACTAAAGATCAGCATATAAAAAGCAAGAGTTACACAATTAAATGATATGATATATGAGTAAGACTACATTGTTATGCATACTACAAGCATTAAAAACGAGTCCTGGTGGAGCAGTGGTTAAAATACTCAGCAGCTGACCAGACTGTGATCTGAGTGCACCAACTACTCTGGGGAACAAAGATGTTGCATCTGCTTCTACAAGAATGCACAGGCTGGGGAACCCTAAGGGTCAGTTCTACGCTGACCTATAGAGTCTCGCAGAAGGCGAATCAACTCAACAGGAAGGGCCGGTTGCTTTACATTTTTAGTTAAGAACAAATTTTTAACAAAAAATGCTAAGCAGATAACTGTAACTGAAGGGTTGGCAATTCAAGCCAATCAAATGGCTCTGAAAGACCTGACCATCTGCTCCCAGAAAATTGACAGCCTAGAAAACCCTGTAGGGCGGCTCCACTGTCACATGAGTCGCTATGAGTCCGAATCAACTTGCCAGCACCCAACAAGAACAATGTGTTCTATTGGTCATAGAAGCCAAAAGTGAAACTGCCTGAAAACAGGCCATCCAAAAGGTTAGGGGACAGTTCTCAGCTTAAAAATTCACAAACTAGAAAAGCAGTGGTTAACTGCAACAAAATTTTCTACTCACTTATCTGACAAGCTCAAGATAGAGCAAATCTTTTTCAAAGCACTATATGTAAAATAAGTGTAACAATGTAAGTAAAAGCATACCTTTTGCTATCTTTCCTGTAGATCTTGCCCCCTCACTCTTGACCTTCAGGTTCTGTATTTTATCTGGCTCCAGAAGCACAGCCATGGCCTTCTGCACATCAAATTTGTTTTGGAGAACTGCTTCAACCAACATTTCATCTGGCACAGCTTCTCCAAGAATCTCTCTCATGTAATCAAGGCATGAGTAAAGACGAGCTACAACAGACAATAACAATCAAAAGCTATACAAAACTGTGTGAACAAAGGATTTATGGGCAATAACCATCCTATTGAGTCAGCCCCAGAGGAGAAGAAAATGCTGCCTGCTCCTGCACCATCTCTGTGACTGTGGACTGTGAATCAAACTGCAGGGATCCGTACAGTTTTCACTGGCTCATTTTCAAAAGCAGATCGACAGGCCATTCTTCCTAATGTTGCATAAGCCTCCAAGGACAGATGATGGCAGCTAGGCAGGATTGCACTAGTCAAGACTTGAACTCAAGTCTTCCACCTGGAAGGCAAGAATTCCACCCCTAACCCATCAACTGTCCCTACAAAATCAACCTTAATTACCTACTCTCATATTTTTATAAATATACAATCTTTTACAATCTTCATAATAAACCCGTGAGCTAAAAATATCAGGTATAATCTAAATTATTAAGATAACAAGAATGAAAACCCTTCCCACTAATAAGTTAGCAGATCCAATACTCTCTGAGACCATTTCAAAACACACAATTGCTATTGCATCATATTATCATAGGTTGAATAAGGAATATATTGGCAATATTTTTTCCCCTTTGGAAAGTTTAGGGATCTTTTTCCTTTTTTCCCTTTCCAATTACTGGAAATCAATTCCTCATATATTTGGATAATTCTGCTTTCTTAGTCCAAGATTACATTGTAGCCTAATAAGGTTTATATGGAAAATAATATCTACTGAATACCAACATGAATTACTGAAGTAAACAGAAAACTTTAGCATAAGTAGCATCAAAGCCTCTTCCAATTAAGTAAGGCCATATTTCCTACACAAAAAAAGCAATATAGCAAAGGAAGGGACTGAGAGTAGAGATCATGGGGCCAGGCTATCTTGACTCTTATCCCAAGGTTATCCACTAAGCGCATGTAGCCTTACACAAGTTACTTCTGTGCCTCCTCATATTCCTTTCTGTGAAACGAGGCAAGTAGCTACCCTCTAACATAACGTTATAAAGATTAAATATGCTACAATCCGAACAGCACTTAGAATAGTATCTGAAAATCAGTTAATACAGGTTAGCAAAAATCATTATTGGAATTGCTGAGTGGTGCAAACAGCTAAACATCATGCAATTACTTACATATTTCAGGTGGGCATGATTAGCTTTTCTCTTCAAGCCTAACTGTGAATTTCGTAACTTCTTAATCACTGTCCACTGAAGCTTAACAGATAAAGAACAAGACTTGTACTCTATTACCACCACAGCAGAACTCTCTTTGTTTAAAACATTAATTCAGTATTAATGGGAAGTTTATGTAAAATCTTCTCCACAAACATTGATGTGTCTGCAGAGTTGATAACCAAGTTATTTTTACTTCTACTGTCTCTGTTGGTTCTCCTCCTTTCTAATTTTTTTATATTTCTGCATTCTCTTCATTTTTCTCAGTGTGGTTAGCAGCTAGTATAAATCACACTGATTCGATCAAAGAGGAGCTCTAAATTCACACGTCTTCCTCATTACAAGTTAATTAAGATTTTCATTTAAAAATATTTCTAGAACAAAGTCACACAAAGAGCAAAGAGGCTCAGCTCTCTTCAGGGAGAGCCTTAGTGTTGTACTTGGTCCTTCCCACTCTACTACACTGTCAATCCATGGCTTGAGTGATATGTAGCCAGCAACATCCTAGTTCAAACTTCTCTCAAAAATAAGAAAGCGGTACGGACAACAGAAAAGTGGGTGAAGGGAGACATCGGAAAGTGTAAGTAAGACATGACAAAATAATAATAATTATAAATTATCAAGGGTTTGGGTGGGAGGGAGGGTGGAGAAGGGAGGGGACAAAATAAGGAGCTGATACCAAGGGCTCAAGTACAAAGAAAGTGTTTTCAGAATGACAATGGCAAAAAATGTACAAATATGCTTGACACAGTGGATGAGTGTATGGATTGTGATAAAGAGTTGTTAAGAGCCCCCAATAAAATGATCTAAAAAAAGAAAAGAAAGCCAAAGTACAAACATCTTTAAAAATGGCTAAGCATTGACAAGAAGCAAACTCGGGACCAAAGGCATTACCATTTTACAAGTTCTCTCATGAACCTTGCCCTACACCAATGTGAGCAATCAGAGCACTCTTATGGTCATTACTAGGAACTTCAACAGCCCTGGCAGTACACTGGCTAATCCTCAAGCGATGACCCAAAAAGCTGGCTCCAATTAAAAGGGATTCTACCATCTTTTTAAATTAAGGAGTGCCTACAACCTAATCTAAACTCCATGAAGAGCTCATGAAAATAAATTCTTCTTTTTTTTTGAAAATAAATTCTTGTGAAACAAATTCTTAAAACTAATCACTGAAGTTTTTCCTGGGGAAAGATGAGAGAATGTAATAGTTTAATTAAAAAATTCTAGTTAATAATCACAGCCATATAATTAATTTTTCATATCATAAGTGCACTTAAATAGACTTTTCACATAAATTGTAAATTTTCCTACAAGGCACACTTTTGTATCAATACTGCCCAGTCACTATTATGAACAATCACAAAAAATGGATAAATTCCAGTCTATTGGCTATTACTCATTTTCAGGAAGAAATCTAGACATACTACTTTTACGATACCTTGATCGACAGCACTTAATTGATGGTTTGAAAGGGAACTGGATGAGTCTTTCTGATCTCCATAATCATATTCTTCTCCTGGTTCAACAGCAGATTTGTCACGTCTGGAGTAAATAAATTGAGCCGCTAGAATATAAAATGATTAAAGATTACTGTAGGACAGCCATTCCCTAAAAAGGACATTTACATTTGTGTTTGACAAAAGGGTTAATAAACGATGTGCAGAAACTGTTGAATGGAAAGCTCATTTGCTCTGTAAACTTGTCCACAAACTACATTTAAAAAATACCTATACTCCCTAATACACAGCTACTCAGAAAAAAAAATCAATTATATCTGAAATACATCTCAAATGTCTTACTACTCATTAAGCTCTTATAAAGCAAGCGTCTTTCTTTCCACCGATCTCTAAGGCCATGGCTCTCAGCCTAGGATCTCAATGTTATAACAACTTCCTTTTAATTATCTCATCCTTGCATAGTACTCCAACTTTCCTAAAATCCTTTGATACATCGATTTCAAGAGAATTAATGAACCTGCTTACTTGCATAATTTAAAAAAACATTAAAAACAGGTAAATTTCACACTCCAAGAATTGTTCTTTTCCGGCCCCACTAGGAGATACGACATCCCTCACTGACCCATAGCCCTACGGGGGACAATGCCAGAGAGACAGTGCAAGGATTGCACCTGATCTGACCTAACCACAACGAGGCAAAACACTAAGGGCATGCAACAGAACAAGGGGAGCAGAGCAAGGAAGTCCCAAAAATACTTTGGGGCCAGGGCGTGGCACCCTAACAGATTTGACCGGAAAACACTCGTCAAGGTCAACAAATAGATCTTGAACTATTTATAGGCTTTTCTTTTGTTGTCATTATTTATTTGTTGTTTTATTTTCTTTAGTTTGTTTTGCTCTGTCTTGTTTTTGTGCATATTATTATCTCTGCAGGTCTATCTAGATAAGATAGGCGGGATAAATATTCTGGAGGAGAAGACAACTGGACTGACGGTTGGGGGGCAAGGGGTACTGAACATGGAGAAGGGAAGGTGGGGAAAGGAAGCGGATGTTAACAAACCCAGGGACAAGGGAACAAGTGATCCAAAATCGATGGTAAGAAGGATGTAGGAGACCTGGTAGGGCTTGATCAAGGGCAATGTAACCAAGAAGAATTACTGAAACCCAAATGAAAACTGAGCATGATAGTGGGACAAGAGAAAAGTAAAAGGAAATAGAGAAAAGAACTAGGAGGCAAAAGGCATTTATAGAGGTCTAAATATAGGCATGCACATTATGTATATATATTTATATATGATGATGGGGAAACAGATCTACGTGCATATATTTATAGGTTTATTATTAAGGTA